CACGGGCCTGGAGAAGCTTTCGCAGGCTCTGCCTGGGGAGAGGCAGAGGCAGAGCTGCACCAGCTCCTCTCCACCCTCAGACCTGAGATGGGCAAGGCAAAGCCAGAGGGATGCCCCCTGTGAAAGCTGGGATGCAGGCAGGGGAGTGGGGACCAGGACCAGCTCTGCAGCACTTGCCCCCTCCACTGAGCATCCTCGCCACGTCACCCTGACCTGCCATGCATGACAACAGACCCTGGCCACAAGTATCCAGCCTGGGGGACGCACGGGCCTCCTGGAGGTCCCACACTGGGCAAGGGCCTCACACGCAGCAAAATCCACCCCCAGCAGCCACCGGTCCGTCCTAGGCAAGGAGGAGCTCCAGCCAAACCCCCAAGGGTGGCAGAGAGCCTGAGTGCAGGAGGTTAGGGCGGCAAGGCAGGCACGGCCAACAGGGAGACAGCCTGCTCCGGCCATGGGATTTTTCCGCTTCACAAGGTTCCTTATGTAACTTTAAATTCAAAGGGGAGAGAGGTTTTTTGGCAAGCAGCGGCCTCCAAATGCATGCCAGTCCCCAAGGGGTTTTAAATCCATACAGCACGTGCACGGAACATATGGGAAAATGCTGAGCTCCCGAGCTCCACGTACGCAAGGGCAGTGCACAGCGATTCCCACCCACCGCTGCCCGGGAAGCAAGGGTCAGCCCAGCCCAGCTCCCACCAGCAACCCACAGTCACCCACGGGGAGGAGGGGAAACACAGTGCTTTTCCATGCCCTGGCACTCGCAGCCACAACAGCTTCAGCCTCCAGCAGCCCCGGCAAGGCTGCTCGCCCTCCTCACTGTGCCGTCACACCGGCCCCAAGGCTCCCAGCTGCAGTGGGGACTCAGCGCCGTGCCAGCCTTCCAGCTGGGGAAGGAAGGGGAACAACGCCAGCCAGTCACGTTCAGCTTCCCCAGGCGGTCTGGGGATGCTGGGCTGCTTCCTCAGTCACTCTAACTTCTGTTTTTGCTGGGTGCTCAAGTTCGCATACAGCCAAAGATCAGATCCCCA